CTTGTTTTTTATAGATAAATTACTTAATTTCTTGAAGTCTTCGGATGTATAAGAGTACGTTATTATTTTTTTGTAAAGACGGCTCCACCTGGCATACTTGATATATACAGGGTGTCCCATAATTCGCGAACCACCGCGAATGAGCAGAAGAGCGTGTTAAACTGAATAGAAAAGTTCTGTATCATTTTGCGATATTCGCAATAATTATTGAGTTATTAACTAAAATATCTAAACGAATGAGCGGTTAGAAAGCGGTAGGCCGGACTCGGTGTGCATGTCGGATGACTTATTTGTTATATGCCGCTTAATATCAAAAGTATCATCTTACTTTTCGGCGCCACTACATTGGTCGCCGCTCGCTGCATGACGTCGCCTCTCGATCAAATAATGCTTTCTACCTGCTTATTCGTTTAGATATTTTACTAAATAACTCAATAATTATTGCGAATATCGCAAAATGATACATGAATTTCTATTTATATATTATATATATATATATATATATATATAATATATATTATTAAAGTATGTATGTGTGTGTTTTTTATATATACGTACTATTCCATGCTTGTAAAATGTACATCGAACCACTTTGGAGTCCATTCTAAAATATATTAATATGAATTAATAATATATTTTTATATGTATGCTTATAATTTAGTAATTAAATTTTAAATAAAATTTGTTATAAAAATTCTAATATACAATTTGTCTAATGTTATTTCTACCAATCTTTTAAATAGAATTCTTGAATCTAAAAGTTATTACGTTTTATTATTAAATTTTATTTTAATGTAGTAATACCTATTACTGGCCTCAACAGAGAAAATTGTTTTTTTACATTTAATTTTTATTCAGAAAGAAAAATGAAGACTTTATTTTAGAAAAAATGCCTATTATGATTATATCTGTGATAACATTATATATTTATAATAAAACCAATATGTATAATAAATTTATAATATTTATAATAACGGTAATGAAATTATAAAGTTCAAAAATTTTCTTTAACATTATTTAATAAAATAAATATATTTAATATAAATAATTTATATTTATTTAAATCCAAATTTAAATTAATCGTAATATTATTCACCTGATACGTTCGCTTCATTGAGACAAATTTGGTAGTTTTATAGAATATCTTCAATTTTTCAAGATCAGCGGTATAGGATATTGTCTGAAAAATATAATAAAATAGTTTTTCTCCGCATTTTTTAATTATTCATATTTAATATATCATTATAATGTATCGTATTTATTTTTACCATTAGTATTATTATCGTCAGTATTATTAACTTATGCGTACCTTAGATTTTCACGTAATTTGAGAAGTTATTTCAAATACCATTGCTCAAAATATTTGATTGCGCTTAAGCAGTCCATATTATTTTATTTCGAGTAATGAATGAATTATTTTATTTCGAGATATTTCTGATTTACTTGTAATAAAATAATAATAATTAGAAATATCGAAATATAAGAAAGAAAAAATATATATAAAAATATGTACGACGAAATAAATTAGATTATAGAGAAAGGATAATATAAAAATCAGAGTCAGTACTTAAAACGTTGTTAATTGTTTTTTTTTTATTACGTTACATTTGGAATAATTATTTAAAGACTCAACCGATTGTAATTTTATGCAATATTCGAGACAGAATCTATTTATTTTTATATAATGTAGTATTTTATGCAATAATTAATATAAAACGAATAACGTAACGAAAATATTCAAACATATAAAATATACACACACACACATACAATATTATCATAATATTATATACAACATATATTCATATATAATAATTGTGATTTGAATGAAATATTTAAATAAAGATTTAAATATATGATATATGTATGTATTAATTTTTTATGATTATACATAAATTATAAATTAAATTATTTTTTATATTTGATTATTCTGCAGAATTTTTAACATTTTCTTACTTATGTTGTTCATTTTACTGTAAAATCATAATAATTTAAGAATTAATATGAGAATCTATAAAAACATATTTGGCGGCAATTACCATTGATCGTTAATTTTACTTGTCTAGGGGATAGAAACGAAAACTTTGGAAAAGTAAAATTGACAAATATTCTCTTCTCTCTCTCTCTCTCTCTCTCTCTCTCTCTCTCTCTCTCTCTCAGGCGAGCTTTCCAATCATTATGAACTTGCGCGAATGCAATTATGCATACGATTGTCTGAGTAATTTGTCTATTATGATTTAGTGACAATAGTGTTTGTAAAAATTCGTGTAGAGATATCAAAATTAACGAGATAATTGTCAGGATTACAGTTGCAATAATAAATATATCAAAACTATACTAAGCAAAATTGAATTTATTTTATATTTTCTTTAATGATATTAAAAAATAAAATTTTTTATTATATTGATTTATATTTCGGTTTGGAGAATGCTAGTTTATGTATTGCTCCTACTACTTACTACTAACACGCAATAAGCACAAGAGTCTTATTGTTGTTTGGAATATAAAATGCACTGATCCGGTGTTATCTATCGTATTTGATTCAATTACTGTTTGTGCATCATTTCTTTAACTGTATTTATATCTATAAAGTAATGGTAACATGATGTTATGTAATGTAACGAGATAATGTTATGTTAATTCCGTGCTAAATATAAATATAATTTTCTATAGCCTTGGGATTGGTCATACTGAAATAATATCGTATATCTAATTTTTTTTTACTGTTTTAAAAAGTTATACCCTACGCGATATTAATAGATATGGAGAAAATGAAGAACTTGAATATATAAAAAATGCATTATTACTTCGTAATGGTTCAGCGGTAATTTATCATTGTTATCTCTAGTAAATTACGAAGAATTATTTGCGGATATTGAAAGCTTATTTAACTGGAATTTTTAACTTGTTGATTTGAGTCTGATAAATTAGAATAAAACACTATACTGAAAAATACTGTGGCCTTATTAAAAGTAATTTTTACAAAACATTAAAACTTTAATATACTTATACGAGGTCTGTCAGAAAAGCAGTGAGATTAAATCTGTAACGCGCAAAGTGAGATCACTAGAAAATTATGATCAAACGGAATGTAAAGTAATTTTTCCTTTAAAAGCAATACAAGTTTTGATTTGTTTGGTTGCATTAATGTGTCAATGATATATCAAAATTCGAAAATACAAAAACGCAAACTTTGATTTTATAAAATTTTTATAATAATAATATAAAAGAACAAAAATTATTTTTTATCCCAGCGTTAAATATATTTGTTATGTTCCTTCAATTAGAGGATCGGTGATGGAAGAACGATGGATGATTTACACGATATATATGAAACTGAGTAACTATATTTCTGTATATGGTACGCTAATTGTGTTCGCGATAAAGGATCACACAGGAGTGATTCCAGAGCGATCCTGCTTCTTACGCGCGCGCTATCCGCTAGTCCCCGGTGGGGTACATATGACACGGCGAAAATCGGAGCACTTTAGCCATAACAGAGAATCGACTTCTTGCTATTTAAGAGCGCCGGGAGGTGTCATCCGCAGGCGCTAATCTTAATATCTATATGTGTGAAATAACACAACAAATATTAAGAAATATTTTTATCAGGAGACACGCTAAAGTACAAGATTTATATAAATTTGTTTAGCTTCTATTAAAAATCACTAACTATTGAGATTAAATTAAAAACTCAATAGTTTAATTAGTTGAATTTTTATTAAAATTATTATCATTTTTTACACATAGATTATTGCATACAATTTTAGTTTTAAATATAAAATATTTAATTTATCCTTTAATCATAAAATTTTTTAAAAATTATATCAGTGTTCAAGATAATTTAATTTTAGTTATAATATATGTATATATACATATATATAATATAATACGATATAATATTAGTTGTAAATATGTTTAATTTTTAAAAAATGTACAATTATAAATTAAAAAAAATTGCTTTATTATCTAAAATTATGATCTTCTGATTCTAAAATAAACTTTAGCACAGTATCACACTTTCTCGAAACTTGTTTCAAAAAAATTAAAATTTTATTAAATATAATATAAAATAAGTACATGTTAATTCAAACGACAAAAAAAATTGTTGTGTAAAATTCCCAATAACCCGTTAGTATAAAAAAAGGATCAAAAGTATTCGTATCTCATATATACTTTATCTCTTCATCGTTACTATTTTATATGAATATTATGTGAAAGAAAATGTGATCTTCTTTTTTTCATTGCCGGGGGTTCGTCGAATAGATCTTCTGTTGGCTTTATGCATGTTATAATTAACATAAGCTTCTCCTCGTTAGTTCCTGGCGCTCGTTTTGCTGCAATTAGATAAAAACAGGTTGAAAATAATATTATTTTGATAAATATATATTACATATAATTGTAATATATATTATTATAAATATATATGTATATATATATATATATATAATTATATACATGTTATATATGTATGTGTGTATGTATATATATATGTATATACAGGTATATATATATATATATATATATATTATATATTAATATAAATAATAACAGAAAAGAATATTGTTTTTAATTATAATTTCTAATTATGAAAAAAGATAATAGATAAAAAAAACATGATTTAAAGTTTAAAGTTTGCAATCATTTATTGGTAATTATCGTATTAATGTGGCAATATTGAAATAAGCAATATCTATAATAATAATGTATAAAGAATAAATAAGGCGCATACGTATATGTATATAGTAATATGTATAAGAAATAATAATGAAAGAAATAATAATAAAAAAAATATAATAAAAATAACATTAATAATAAGAAATAATATAACTGAAATAAAATATGTCAAGTACAAAATATGAATTATTACAATAAGAATATTTTCTCTTTCTCTCTCTCTCTCTCTCTCTCTCTCTCTTTCTCTTTTCTCCCTTTTATTTACCTTGTTCGTCACACTTATTAAGATCTCTTTTGCTTGATTTAATTTGTTCTCATCGAAATGATATATCCGTATTGTGTAAAAAGTTTATCTTTTATATTGCACTCTTATCGTCAATCTGGATTAATAAATTAGTATTATTTTTTAATTAAATTAATTATACCCAGTTATTAAAAAATAATATTTAAACAAAGTTATAGTCATATTTCATAGGTTTTGAATACGATTCCAAGTTTCAAATTGCTCAATATGTCATTATTTTGAGAAATTAGTTTAGGATTGTTAAGAGTATCGTTTCTCTGTTTCGCATTTATGACATTTTTTATTATCAAACAATACTAATTACACAGGAGAAATTACTTACTTTCAATATAAGCAATAAGTCAAAATATGATTTTGAAAAAAAATTATATTTATACGTATGGTAAAATAATTATATATAATAGTATGCTATTATTTTTTGTAAAGATGGCTCCATCTGACATGCTTGATATATATATATATATATATATATGTTATTAAAGTATGTATATGTGTGTGCTTTTATATATACATACTATTTCCAGCTTGTATAATACACATCGAACCGCTTCTGGAATCCATGCTAAAATATATTAATTATGAATTTAATAATATAATTTTATATGTATGCTTATAATTTAGTAATTAAATTTGTAAACAAAACTTGTTATAAAAATTTGAATATACAATTTGTCTAATGTTATTTTCTACAAATTTTCAAACAGAATTCTTGAATCAAAAGTTGTTACGTTTTATTATTAAATTTTATTTTAATGTAGGAATATTACTGGCGCGAACAGAGAAAATTGTTTTTTTATACACTCTCATTTTCATTCAGAAAAAAATTGAAGACTTTATTTTAGAAAAAATGCCTATTATGATTATATTTGTGATAAAATTATTTATAATAAAACTAATATGTATAATAAATTTATAACATTTATAATAACGGTAATGAAATTTTAAGTTCAAAGATCTTTCTTTAACCTTATTCAATAAAATGAATATATTTTATATAAATAATTTATATTCATTAATTCAAATTTAATTATGGTAATATTATTCACCTTGTGCATTCTGTTCCTTGAGACATTTTTGGTAGACTTGATAGAATATCTTCATTTTTCACGATCAGCGGCGTAGGATATTGTCTGAAAAATATAACAAAAAGTTTTTCTCCACATTTACTAATTATTCATATTTAATATATTTTATTATAATGTGTCGTATTTATTTTTACTAGTACTAGTATTAGTATTATTACCGTTAGTATTATTAACTTTATGCTCACCTTAGATTTTCACGCAATTTTGAGAAGTTATTTCAAACCTATAGAATTCTGTCGCGAATATTGCATGAAATTACAAATCGGTTGAAGAGTATTTAAACAATTATTACAAATGTAACGTAATAAAAAAAAAAAAAAATAAACAATAACAACGGTTTAAGTACTGACTGATTTTTATATATTATCCATTTCTGTATAGTCTAATTTATTTCGTCGTACATATTTTTATATATATTTTCTCTTTCTTATATTTCGATATTTCTAATTTTTATATTGTTTTATTACAAGTAAATTAAATATTTCTTTAAATAAAATAATATGGAATGTTTATGCGCAATGATTAAAAAAAATAAAAATTTTTTCATTTTATTGTTTTATATTTCGGTTTGGAGAACTGCTAGTTTATATATTGTTTTTACTTACTATCAAAAACGCAATAAGTAGAAGTGTCTTCATTGTTGTTTGGAATATAAAATGCACTGATTCGGTGTTACCTCGCACTTCGATACGATTACTGTTTGTACATCACTTCTTTAACTGCATTTATATACGTAGTAACAGTAACATGATGTTATATAATGTGACGAGATATATTATGTTAATCCCTTGCTATATATGTAATATAATTTTTTATAAGCTTGGGATTGATTATATATATGAAATAAGCAATATTTTACATCTAATTATTTTTTTTACTGTTCTAAAAAATTATAATTACGCGATATTGATAGATATTGAAAAAAATGAAGAACTTGAATATATAAAAAATGCATTAATTACTCTGTAATGGTTCAGCGGTAATTTAGTTTACGTTACATCTTTAGCAAATAATCAAAAAAACCAAGAATTAATTGTGGATATTGGAAACTGTTTTATTGGAATTTTTAACTTGTTGATTTGAGTCTGATAAATTAGAATAAAACACTATTCTGAAAAATACTGTGGCCTTATTTAAAAGTAATTTTTACAAAAATTAAAAACTATTACTTATACGAGGTCTGTCAGAAAAAAGCAGTGAGATTAAATCTGTAACGCGCAAAGTGAGATCACTAGAAAATTATAATCAAACGGAATGTAAAGTAATTTTTCCTTTAAAAGCAATACAAGTTTTGATTTGTTTGGTTGCATTAATGTGTCAATGATATATCAAAATTCGAAAATACGAAAAACGCAAACTTTGAATTTATAAAATTTTTAAATAATAATATAAAAGAACAAAAAATTATGTTTATCTTAGCGTTATATTATTAACAAATATTTTTATCAGCAGACACGCTAAAGTACAAGATTTATATAAATTGTTTAGCTTCTATTAAAAATCATTAACTATAGAGATTAAATTAAAAACTCAATAGTTTAATTAGTTGAATTTTTTATTTAAATTATTATCATTTTTTACACATAGATTTTGCATACAATTTTAGTTTTAAATATAAAATATTTAATTTATCCCTTAATCATAAAAATTCTTTAAAAATTATATCAGTGTTCAAGATAATTTAATTTTAGTTATAATATATGTATATTACATATATATATATTGTTACGTCCCTGATCTTTCATCCCTGAATATCATCCCTTGTGTCGTGGAGCTTCATCGTTAAGGGGGGTTTTTATTGACAACCGCCCGGTGGTGTTTTCAGGGTCCATGACAGTTTTGGTCTGGCTGTCATCTCGTACGGACGTGACTTGACCAGAGAGCAATCTTCTTTCTTTCGCGTGTACATTAGTCATTGTATTTCATCATTGTATAAAGGATCATTTCTTCATAAGAGAGTGTATTTATTTCGCGAGCCGCGAGTGAGTGAGAGGTGTGCGAGAGACGTCTTTTGCGAGAAAGAACGCGGAGGAGGACGTAACAATATATATATATTATAATGTAATATAATATAATACGATATAATATTAGTTGTAAATATGTTTAATTTTTTAAAAAATGTACAATTATAAATTTAAAAAAAAATTGCTTTATTATCTAAAATTATGATCTTCTGATTCAAATAAACTTTAGCACAGTATCACACTTTCTCGAAACTTGTTCAAAAAAATTAAATTTTATTAATATAATATAAAATAAGTACATGTTAATTCAAACAACAAAAAAATGGTTGTGTAAAATTCCCAATAACCGTTAGTATAAAAAATGGATCAAAAGTATTTGTATCTCATTATATATTACTTTATCTCTTCATCGTTACTATTTTATATGAATATTATGTGAAAGAAAAAGTGATCTTTTTTTTTTCATTGCGGGGGTTTGTCGAGTAGATTTTTTATTGGATTGTGCATGAAATAGTTAACATAAGCTTCTCCTCGTTAGTTCCTGGCGCTCGTTTTGCTGCAATTAGATATAAAACAGGTTGAAAATAATATTATTTTGATAAATAGATATTACATATAATTGTAATATATATTATTATAATATATATATGTATATATATATGTATGTGTGTATTGTCATATATATGTATATATATATATATATATATATATATATATATATATTTATATATAAATAATAACATAGAAAAGAATATTTGTTTTTAATTATAATTTCTAATTATGAAAAAAGATAATAGAAAAAAAAAACATGATTTAAAGTTAAAGTTTGCAATCATTTATTGATAATTATCGTATTAATGTGGCAATATTGAAATAAGCAATATTTATAATAATAATGTATAAAGAATAAATAAGGCGCATACGTTATATGTATATAGTAATATGTATAAGAAATAATAATGAAAGAATAATAATAAAAAAATAATAATAAATAACATTAATAATAAGAAAAATATATAAGAGTTTTAACATAAAAGAAATAATATAATTGAAATAAAATATGTCAAGTACAAAATATGAATTATTACAATAAGAATATTTTCTCTCTCTCTCTCTCTCTCTCTCTCTCTCTCTCTCTCTCTCTCTTCTCTCTCTTTTTCTCTCTTTTATTTACCTTGTTCGTCACACTTAGTAAAGATCTCTTTTGCTTGATTTAATTTGTTTTCATCGGAAATTATATCCGTAAATTGTAAAAAGTTTCTCTTTTATAACTACAGCCTTATCGTCAACCTGGATTAATAAATAGTATTATTTTTAAATAAATGAATTATACACTGTTTATTAAAAAATAATATTTAAACAAAACTATATAGTCATATTCTATAGTTTTTTTTTAATACGATTCCAAGTTTCAAATTCCTCAATTTCTTATTTTGAGAAATTAGTTTAGGATTGTTAAGAGTATTGTTTCTCTGCTTCGCATTTATGACATTTTTTATTATCAAACAATACTAATTACACAGGAGCAATTAATTAATTTCAATATAAGCAATAAGTCAAAATATGAATTTTGAAAAAAAAAATTATAATTATACGTATGGTAAAATAATTATATATAATAGTATGCTATTAAATTTTTTGTAAAGACGGTTCCACCTGACATGCTTGATATATATATATATATATATATATATATTATATATATATGTTATTAAAGTATGTATATGTGTGTGCTTTTTATATATACATACTATTTCCAGCTTGTATAATACACATCGAACCGCTTCTGGAATCCATGCTAAAATATATTAATTATGAATTAATTATATAATTTTATATGTATGCTTATAATTTAGTAATTAAATTGTAAACAAAACTTGTTATAAAAATTTGAATATACAATTTGTCTAATGTTATTTTCTACAAATCTTTCAAACAGAATTCTTGAATCAAAAGTTGTTACGTTTTATTATTAAATTTTATTTTAATGTAGGAATATTACTGGCGCGAACAGAGAAAATTGTTTTTATACACTCTCATTTTCATTAGAAAAAAATGAAGACTTTATTTTAGAAAAAATGCCTATTATGATTATATTTGTGATAAAATTATTTATAATAAAACTAATATGTATAATAAATTTATAACATTTATAATAACGGTAAGAAATTTTAAGTTCAAAGATCTTTTTAACCTTATTCAATAAAATGAATATATTTTATATAAATAATTTATATTTATTTAATCCAAATTTAAATTATGGTAATATTACTCACCTTGTGCATTCTGTTCTCGAGACAAGTTGGGAGATTTGATTTTACAATCTTCAATTTTCTTGATCAGCGGCGTAGGATATGTCTGAAAAATATAACAAAATAGTTTTTCTCCACATTTACTATATATTCATATTTAAAAATGGTAATAATTTCGTCAACCATATCTGGCTATAAATACTATTTATAAATTTCACGACGTTTCGGCCATGGGTTCGGTCCTTATCAAGTGCTACTTATACCGCATTATTGTAATAACACTACTATTTGATCTTAGGTCATGACGTGATCATGTACTGTCATGACCTAAGAGATCAAATAAGTAGTGTTATTACAATAATGCGGTATTTAAGTAGCACTTGATAAGGACCGAAACCCATGGCCGAAACGTCGTGAAATTTAATAAATAGTATTTATAGCCAGATATGGTTGACGAAATTATTACCATTTTTTAATTATTGACTGGTGACTTCTTAGTTCTTTATATATATATTCATATTTAATATATTTTATTAAATGTATCGTATTATTTTTACCAGTACTAGTATTAGTATTATTACCGTTAGTATTATTAACTTTTGCTCACCTTAGATTTTCACGCAATTTTGAGAGTTATTTCAAACCTATAGAATTCTGTCGCGAATATTTATAAAATTACAAATCGGTTTGAAGAGTCTTTAAACAATTATTACAAATGTAACGTAATAAAAAAAAAAAAATAATAATTAACAACGGTTTAAGTACTGACTGATTTTATATATTACTCATTTCTGTATAGTTTAATTTATTTCGTCGTACATATTTTTAAATATTTTTTTTCTTTCTTATATTTCGATATTTCTAATTTTTATTGTTTTATTACAGTAAATTAAATATTTTTTAACTAAAATAATATGGGATTTTTATGCGCATTATTAAATATGTTGCGCAATGATTAAAAAAAATAAAATTTTTCATTTTATTGTTTTATATTTTGTTTTGGAGAACTGCTAGTTTATATATTGCTTCCTACTTACTATCAAAGACGCAATAAGTAGAAGGGTCTTCATTGTTGTTTGGAATATAAAATGTACTGATTCGGTGTTACCTCGCACTTCGATACGGTTACTGTTTGTAAGCTCTTCTTCCACTGCATTTATATCTACATAGTAACAGTAACATAATGTTATATAATGTGACGAGTAATATTATGTTAATCCTTGCTATATATGTAATATAATTTTTTATAAGCTTGGGATTGATTATATATATGAAATAAGCAATATTTATATCTAATTATTTTTTCACTGTTCTAAAAAGTTATAAATTACGCGATATTGATAGATATTGAAAAAAATGAAGAACTTGAATATATAAAAAATGCATTAATTACTCTGTAATGGTTCAGCGGTAATTTAGTTTACGTTACATCTTTAGCAAATAATCAAAAAAAAACCAAGAATTAATTGTGGATATTGGAAACTTGTTTTATTGGAATTTTTAAATTGTTTGATTTGAGTCTGATATAAATTAGAATAAAACACTATTCTGAAAAATACTGTGGCCTTATTAAAAAGTAATTTTTACAAAACACATTAAAACTTAATATACTTATACGAGGTCTGTCAGAAAAGCAGTGAGATTAAATCTGTAACGCGCAAAGTGAGATCACTAGAAAATTATAATCAAACGGAATGTAAAGTAATTTTTCCTTTAAAAGCAATACAAGTTTTGATTTGTTTGGTTGCATTAATGTGTCAATGATATTCAAAATTCGAAAATACGAAAAACGCAAACTTTGAATTTATAAAATTTTTTTTATAATAATAATATAAAAGAACAAAAATATGGTTATCTTAGCGTTATATTATTAACCAATATTTTTATCAGCAGACACGCTAAAGTACAAGATTTATAAAATTTGTTTAGCTTCTATTAAAAATCATTAAACTATAGAGATTAAATTAAAAAACTCAATAGTTTAATTAGTTGAATTTTTATTTAAATATTATCATTTTTACACATAGATTATTGCATACAATTTTAGTTTTAAATATAAAATATTTAATTTATCCCTTAAGATAAAAATTTTTAAAAAATTAGATCAGTGTTCAAGAGAATTAATTTTAGTTAGAATAGAGTATATATATAGATATAGAGATATATAGTTATATATATATACAATATATACATATATATAATTATAATGTAATGTAATATAATACGATAAATATTAGTTGTGTAAATATGTTTAATTTTAAAAAATGTACAATTATAAATTTAAAAAAAATTGCTTTATTATCTAAAATTATGATCTTCTGATTGTAAAATGAACTTAGCACAGTATCACACTTTCTCGAAACTTGTTTCAAAAAAATTAAAATTATTATAAACTATAATATAAAATAAGTACATGTTAATTCAAACGACAAAAAAATGTTATGTAAAATTCCCAACACCCGTTAGTATAAAAAATGGATCAAAAGTATTCGTATCTCATTATATATACGTATCTCTTCATCGTTACTATTTTATATGAATATTATGTGAAAGAAAAAGTGATCTTCTTGTGTTCATGCGGGGGTCCGTCGATTAGATCTTTTATTGGCTTTTGTGCATGTTATAGTTAACATAAGCCTCTTTGTTAGTTCCGTCGCTCGTTTTGCGCAATTAAATATAAAACAGGTTATTGAAAATAATATTATTGTGAATAATAGATATTAAATATAAGTGTAATATAT